TCATTTTTTAGGCATAGTACAGTAAAAGGCATTTAATGGTTTATAATGACTCTGTGTCAAAGGGCCTGTTGACTGAGACACACTGTATGTAAATCTGTAGGCCATCACTGACTTGATCAGCACAGCACAGACAACAAAGTGAATTAAGCCTCATCTAAATGTAAATTAGGTTTTATACCTTTGGCAAACAGCTTACATAACCAGTGTCTGTTTTAATAAACCAATTAGATTTTATTCTATGCTATATGAAGACGAGAAAATAAAAGCTGTGCTTTATGGAAATGTACATGGGATGCAGATAGCATCAGGAGTCGGGCAAAGATCCTTCCTATAGGTATGCATCATTTTCACATGAAAACATGTGCTTGAAATACTGACTATTCAATCTAGTCTGAGAGAAGTAAAACAGACACAGACTGTCATAAAAGGCCCATTCAATTGCCTTGAGAAATGAACATGTGTGGCAGGAGCTTACATATTTGTCTCCAATTTCCTCTCCCTCACTCGTATCACAAATATCAGACTGAATATATGAAACCAGAAGCTCATTTTACATTCTTCACTTATGCAACCTGTCTTATAAAGTTTGAGCAGAGGTACATTTACTGTAAACACAATATGGCAGGTATTCTCAGGTTAGATGAACCTACACTTTTGCTGCTGTTCAACATCTTTAATACAATTAAAGAATGAGGGAACAAATTTTGCTCTTTCACAATTTAACTGCATGTACTTTCTTTACCACAACATTTACATTTTTATCCAAGGATTGTTTTTTTTTAAGTTAATCTGTGCAGTCTTATGTTCAGAAATATTATAAATAAGAACTTCTCCTAATGCAAGTTTCCACTTAATAAAAATACATTAAAAAACAAAGTAACTTAGGGTAACTCTGGGTAATCAGAGTTAGTATTATTTATCTGATTAATAGAGGGGCAAAGAGAACTCTTCCTCTGATAAATTTATAGAAATTTCTATTTCTATTTCTTACCTCATGTTTAATTTTGTCCTCAGGAAACTCAGAACAAGTTAAACAAACAAAAATAAATTAAGAAAATGCCAAAATTTCTGCTTTTTATTTTGTTAAATTTTAATTAAGAATTTAGAATTAAGAAGTAATATTATCTTTAGTAAAGAGAGTGGTACTTTGTTTGCAGCACATTTATTTTTACTATGGTAAATGATGACAACAAACATATGAACAGCAAGAAGTGCTATTGTAGACAAATACATAGATTTGAGATGGAGTATAACTTGTGGAAAAATATGCACATGTAAAGAATTCTGTAAAAAGCAAAATTACAAACTGTGAAGTGGAACTTTAAAGCAATGCTGTTAAAACCAGTAGTGTTTAAATGAAACAGCAACAGGGCATTAATTTGAGAATATCTGGCAAATATCAATTTATTCCATATTCTAACTTTAGTAATGCATTTACTGGAAAGAGAGTAATATCAATTCCATAAATCATTCAGGAGATAAATCCGGAGCCACAGACATGTATATGTTAGCTGATCCCTGTGAGGGAGCTCAGCACCCATTAATCAATGTCTGAGCTCCTCTGGCCATGTCATCTGGGGGGAAAAAAGGCAAATTTATAAAAAGGGCAATTACCACACTGATATTGCAGAAAAATCCTCCTAATATAACCCTCTGCTACTACACATTTGTACTTTCCTTCACATATGAGTCTGATAAGGTTTATCTATCCCACTATATGTCTATAAAAGATTGTCTTTCCTCTTGTGAATAAGCCTAACCCAACTTAATTGTTAGTAATCCACTGACCTCCAGGTTGTTGAAAAAGTGCATCAGAGAATCAGCACTGGAGAACAACACTGACACTGACACCAAAGTCAGACAACAGAAAGTAAACAGGGAGAAGTTAAAGCTCATCTGAGTCTGCAGAAACCAAAATGGGCTTATCTGTGGAAATATGAAATCTGAGCACCATCTGAACCTAATCTCCACACAGCGATTCAGTCCCAAAGAGAGCCTGCTGGTTCCCTGATTTATTCTGCCTACTTGGTGCTTGAGTGTTAGCCTGCTTGTGGGTCTAACCAGCCGACCTTGTCGGTGCTGAAAACATGCAGTTCTTCATTTTCGTTTTAATGCCACTCCACTAGCAGAAAGCAAGGCCATTAACAAAGGACTCTGGAGCATATTTAACTTCATCTTACAGCGTACAGCAGCCTCAATTCAATTATATAATTGATTTTTTTTTCAATCAAACTATGAAAATTAATTGTGGAAAACAATCAACACTACAAGTGGCTATCTTTCTTCTGACCTACACAAAATACCTAGCTGGATTTCCTCCACAACAAATGCGACACTGCTGAGGGGAACCAAACAGACTGCTATCACAGTACCACCACAATACCACATAGCTGTACCATGTGTGAGTCAATGTCAGAAAAAACTACATGGCGTGCTCCTAAGTCCAGCTTCAGACTTCAGATACATCGCTGTTGACGCAAGAAGAAAATGAAAATGATTTGAACCAATGAACCAATATCAGTTAAGCAACTAAAGGTAAACAGAGTTAAATTTAACATTTGTCTATTATGTTTTTATGATTTGTTGGGTTTTTGTTATACCAACTTTTTTACCTACTTTTTATATTTGCAATTCACAGTAAATGATAACAGCAGGTACATTAGCATACGTTAGCTAACTAAGCAGTTGTATCTTGTGTCTAAAAAACAAGAATCTTAAAAAACGCGCAATTTAATGGCGTTTTGGCCCAACATGAGTCAATTAAGACCCAAAATAATAAACAATATTCCTGCGGTAATCATAGCAGAGAGTTCGTTAACTACCTCAGATACAGAGAAAATAATATACTGATAAAAGCTTCCTGCAGCTCCCTGGTGGTTTGTTACTTTCCATTTCATGCTAGGGAAAAGATCATTATTGTTCCACGCTTTTCACAGCAGAGCTCGAATAGGTTGTCAAATCCCTATTAAATACAACTTAACATAATTAATTTGTTTAGTTTAGTTTTGTGATGTGTTGGAATGTAAATCTTTTAAGAGAGATCTTTAAGTTGATATGCCTTTATAAGTATGTCTGTCCAGGTATCGGTTTGCCCTCTTGTGGATGTAACGCAATATATAAATGGTTCGGTCCTGTATGGGCAGAGGTTTGAACGAATAATCAAATTTGAACAAGAGCCAATGAGGTATTCTGCAAAATGTGCATTGTAAAACATTTGTATTTTATCGTGTATATAGAGAATGAGTAAATGTTTGAACAACAGCACTATATTTTTTACAAGCCTACATACTACGTGCATATATATCCACATTTAAGCATGAGCTATACACGTTATCTAGAATGTAACAGCACAACGGCCTCTATTTTAAAATTCCTGGGCTAACTACTATTTTTGCCTAGTAAATATTTTAAAATCCCAGAAACTTTTATATAAAAGTGTAAGAATGAGGACTTGTCCCTATTAATGGTGCGGATGGTGTCCAGAGATCTGTTTTTACATTCTGTGCTCTCTGGTCATGCCTCTGTCAGCAATGACCAGATTGTTCAAATATGTGGGTTCAGTTTAGAAAATGAAATAAAAATGCAGCTAAATGCAATATAATGTGCATACATAGTAGTTGTGTATAAAAAGGGAAACGCCAGCAACTTCTGAAAAAAAAAATTAAAAGTGGAGCATCTTTTGTGTCTAAAGCTCTGTGGTGTGTTTGACTGCTTAAACAAAGAGACTGCTGTGCTGAATATGCTGCTTTAATGCAGCCTCGGTAAAAACTAAAAATGTGACTGTCTCCCATAAAATTAAGGTAACACTTACTACTGTTAACAACACGAGTCTGTAGTTATTATTGCATCTTGGAACTTCTTTAAGTCTTCCAAATTAGTGCTAGGGCAAGCAGAAATCACAGCTTCATCAGGAGATTGCAGTCAAACACGCAAATCAAATTGATTCTCAACTGCTAGATAAGGAAAAACAAGGCAGGGGGAAAAAAACAGAGTGCAACAGGGTTGTTGCCCAGTTTACTGTGAAAAGATTTCAGGGATCAATAGTACCAGCATCTCATCCACTTTCACAACAACAACAAAAAAAATTTCTGAACTGTGAGGACCCTGTGTATGGATAAAAAGTTTTAGAAAACAATTTCAGACAAACGAAATGGAAGATAACAGACAGGATGATGTAGAGATCGCAGGTTTAGTTTATGCTCTCGCTGACACACACACATGGAGACACTAAGGGAGCAAAGCCACATTGCAGACAATCTAGGTGATGTAACAAACACAAACTTTTTTGTTAAAACTTGCAAGCTCAATTAAAAAGGTAGCAAATACTGTATTCTGACCACAACCACGCTCCAGCCCAGGAACATAAATAACAGATGTCATAGGTTGCCACTTTGTCTATTGAGTTTTTTTTATTATTGTTTAAAAAATTTAGATTCAGCCATGGAAATACAAAGCGAGGGCAAATATACAAGATGCTAGCTAACAATGGACAGAGGCATGTCAGATTTAAAATTGTTTTAAACTACAAATATTAAGATCACATAACAAAAGAATTGTACAAATGTTCAAACAGCATCTAGCTAAAGCTGACCCACTGATTGCTTTTGGGTAACTACAGTCAGTGTGCTAGGGCAGCAGTGACAACCAATAATATTCGGCTTCAACACAGGTCTTATGACAGTACATTAGACCTGTGTTAGATAACCTGTGTTATCTAACAATAGATTTTTTTCAAATGTCAGCATATATACCCACCCTTCACTGGGAACCTGGGTTGCATGGAGAAGAAGGGATTGTTGTGATTTGGTCACTGTGCTTGCAGGATGTGGGTAGCTGTCAGTACAGCATCTGATCTAACAATTATCAATTATCTGACTTTTCTGCTAAACAAATCTGCTTAAAAAAGTGTCAGCCAGCATGAGAAAGTCTTGCTTTTCCATCCAAGTGTGCACCCTGTAATTATGTCTAAAGGTTAAATATTGTGTTTTGCAGTTACTCACCACTTTCAAAGCATGCATCAAAAACCAGATGTCCTTTTCGTGGAGTTCCTGAGTATCCTGGTGGGCTCACCATCAGCTTGTTTACGTTGCCCACCAAGGCATCCTCTCCCCCAGCTTCACGGCCTAAAGAACAAGTGCAAAATGTAGAGTTTAACTTTACTCAAAGGAGTCTCCGACCACTGTGTGTAAACCCTTAGTTCCCAGGTGTATATGAAAATTTCATATAATATAATACAGTTGTTGTTATTAAAGTAAGGACAGGTATTTACTCCAATAGAAAAAAGAAATGGTTCCTTTTCTTATGTTGTTGTCATGTTGACTTTTGTTAGAATGAAAAAGGAGACACACACACCAAGTCTATAAAAAATACAAGATATAAGGATAGGGATAACTAATTCACATAATGTTGTTGTTAAATGTGAAGCGCCACAACATCAACAGTATAAGAAGTGTTGATTTTATATATGTTATTGGTATTAGTAATTAGCACTAAGTGGTAATTAGGCTGTTCATTTCAACATACAATTTCAACACATGGTTACTTTTCCTTGAACAAGTGAAGTACAACTGGACTTTTAATAAGTTAATACCGTAACTCATTTCCATTTCTTACGCCGTTGCTCGTTAATAAAATAGTAGTGTATTTAGTTTAGATCTTTAAAATTAAAACAATAAATAAAGCTGCGTTTTGTACAAATATGCAAACAACAATAATCAGGAAGGTGGCAAAGAGGTTTTTTTCACAACTGTGGAGTCCAAAGATGGTAATTAATAAGATAAAATTTTAAAAAAGCATAAGTGAACTATGATAAACATGATAAAACCCCTGCCACAACAAATATTATTATTGGTTTAAATGTGCGTTTTGTTTGTTTAATCCCCTTACCCATTACAGTGGCGTGTACCATTTGTTAAGAACTGCTCATTTACGGTAGCTTTCATTTAGAAGGATAAGAGACAAACACCGGTTTTAATCACCAAGAGAAAACTTCAGATACAACGGAAAGCTAATTAGCTCCACACCAGCTCACTGCAGTCTGAGTAACAAAGCTAGCTAACACAATTTAACAAACAGTCTGCTCGGCTATGCAGCGGTTAACTTGTCATGGCAGCAATTACCTAAACGCACATGTAGCTCATAATATGGTTGAATAAAGTCAACAGCAGCACAGCTAGCTCACGCTTGCTGGTGACAGCACTGTGTTTACATTTTTGCACCTGCTAGCTAGGAGGTTAACACGCTTAACGTTAGCGTCCATAAAAAGAGACCTAGCGAGCCAGTCACGCGCGCATATTATTGTGAGATAACGGGCTATCACGCGCTTCCCTCTGTTTGTATTGCAATGAACAGGTTGCCGTGTTAAAGCTCATATTTACACACCAGCGTCGACATCGCTAACAGTGTTCTCCTCCATCTTCCTCTCCATCTGCTACAAAGCAGCCGACGCTCTCTGGGAGTTACCACGGCAACGGAGCAAAAGGAAGCAGGAGAGGCGCTGCAACCTTCATCGGGGAGCCGCTGCACAGAAGACACCCAAGAAATCGGTTCTCCCGGGCAATGAGTAAGTAATAAACCCGGTGTTTGATTATGTTTGTTTAGTGGTTACAAAAATCATTAAATATTGAAAGTAAGCTGTGATTTATCAAAGCATGGTTGGTTCAGGACAAACAAAAAACTGCAACTCTGAAAAGGTCACTCACAGAATTTCAAGTTAGTAAGAAAGGAAGTGAAGTTTGTGACTTTTGTTCTTGAGAAGGACTGTATACGCAAAGTGTTTTACAATATAAACTAAAATACATGGATAAAACCAAACATGCACAGGTGGGTCCAAAGCTTCTTTTTAAAGTTATCAGCAGGGTCGACCGATCTTAAATCCATTGGAACTTGGAAGCCACACCATGAAAAGCACAATCTCCAGCACTTGGATCTAGGTATAGCCAACAAGTATTAATCAGCTGACCTACTATATGAAGTTTGGATGAAGTAGTTCACTAATCTAGGGAGGCATCTGACCATGAGGAGCTCTGAAAGTGGTCACTAATATCTTAAACTGAACTCTAAAGTTTAAGAGGAGCCAGAGGAGTGTAAATAAGACACAACTGGTGTCACCCAGAAGGTCGAAGTCCCTGGAAAACTTCGGGAGTAAGCCTTCCTTCTTATTACACATGCATTTCAAACGTATACTGAATTAACATCAAGGCTAAGAGTAATTAAATAAAATGATGGAAAACCTTTATGGTTCAAGATTTGATATCTTGTAATTCTTCTTCTAACACACACACACACACACACACACACACACACACATACACACACACACACACAAATATATATTCAAAAGAATAACTAAATAAATATTTTTTAAAAACCTAGTTCTATGTTGGATTCATGGCACTGGATAAGTTTGTCCTGCTTTTCCGGATGATGTACAGGCTATGACTGTAGTGAGTATTCTTTCTAAAGTGTCCGTTAAGCTGTTCACTGATGCTTCCTAGCTGGATGCCAATAGATGGTTAGAATTTGGCAGTTTTTATCACCCACTGCAAAGCCCTGTGGTGTTGCCCCATGCACAAGCCTTACAAGTACACCAACAATGTACACTGGCGACATTTACATTCTACAGGAATCAGTAAACTAGACAAGACTCCCATTGCAAATTAAATAGTAATCTGTATACTGCACCCTCCTCAGTTTTATTGCAGTCATACCTGAAATAAACCTCATTTTGAAGGTATTTTCAGAGAAAAAGCCAATCAATGCAAGCAGCAGCCAGAGATTCTGAATTATCCTGCAGATTGATTAAAGCTGGAGATTTTCTAGACAATTGGAGCAGAGATGTCATCAAGGCCAATCAAGCCTGGCCCTATTCCTTTCCCATTACAAAGGCTGCACCTGATTAAGTACATCAAATGAGCAGCGGCACAACTCCTGGAGCAAGAGCATACAGGCTGCTGCAAATTTTCAGGTTATAAGCTGTGTGTAACAGGACTAAATGAATAAGACAAGAGAGAGGGCAATGGGTTTTTTTTTCCCATGTGCATGTGTGATCTGTATTTGATGTCGAGCATCAACAGGCCACTGAGTAGATAGGTCGGACTGATTATTTCTCAGATGACAGGAAGAGAATACTGGGCTCCTGTGTAATATTTTGTTAAAATTGAAAATTGAATAGCTGTCCGCCATGCCATGTCATTCCTTTAACACTATGCCAATTAAAGAGCTGTACGGTGGTACAATCATTCATTTTCAAGAGAGAGATTGAAATTAAATTATGGAGCATGAGAAGAATGAATTAGACACGCTACATGTTCCCTTGTTTCTCAGCTCTTATCAAATAGAGAGGCTGCATGGGAGTGTTCGGATGTTCCATAAGATCCTGGCTATGGATACTCGGTGTAACTACATCTCATGGCTGAAACTCACATCAGTTTGTGAAAGACAAAATTTTATTCCAAAAACTTACCTGACATTATAACAGTACCTGTGAAATAATGGTATCCTGCAGTGAAAGTTAGGACAGGACATAAAACTTGTTTTATCATTTAAATGCCTATGCACATTAGCGATATTACAGGAGAACGAAAAGGTGCATGAAATCTTTTTATGGCTTTCCTCTTCTTTTAAAGCTTTACATTCAACAATAGTGTGTCCTCTTAAAAAATGCCTGAAGAAGTTGAAATCTTTCTTTCTCCCCAAGTTGCATGTGTGCTTTACTTCTACTTACTGGTGTCTGCTCAGTGGATCACCGAAACCAGAATAACACAAAAGAGAGGTTCCACACATGTTGACTCTCAAATTTTAATTATCTCTCATGACAGTGTATTTTCACACGCCTATAAAAATATATTTGACCCCTCTGAACATACGATCGTGCTTCACATGTAGACAGTCCTGTCATGGTTAGTGTGGCTTGGTAGTGACTGGATTACACACCTCATCATTTAAATCAGTGGAAAAGATATACAAAAAATATATTTTTTCATTCTTTCAGAAAGATAGTCTTTCTTCTGAATCGCAAACTGATCAAATGAGTCAGCATTTGTAGCTTTGTGCCACAAAAAAAACACTGACACAAAGAATTTCTGTGAGGTTTTTTTTTTATCCCGGCATATGTGTATTCAAGAGGACGAAATCTGTGTTTTTCTACATTTGTATTCCAGCAACTACAGGGAAATCCTTTTTACTCCAGCCAGCTGAGGACATCCACGCATATAGTCCATCATCGATGAAGAAACAAGTCATGCAAAAATAAAAAACACAGGGCACAAGAGGCTCAGAGTTGGAGATGGGCAGTTGTGTGAGGCCGGGTGCGGAGGGCTTAGTAGGGAAGTAGAGACCATCCGGCAGTACATAGAGAATCACTATGGTGACAGCAATCAGGGGGCTCAGGGGAGTGAGGCTGGGTCAGAGAGGAAGGCTTGAGAGGCAGCTGACTGAGGAATCAGCTCTCACTCTGAATGATTCAACTGACAGCTCCCCCCAGGGCTGTGCCGGACCAGCCGTCCCCAGAGACCGCGGCTTTACGGAACAGGGATGCGGCTAGCAGTCCTTTTCTAAGGAAAAAATAAATAAAATAAGTGGAATTGGAGCCAAGACGGCGCAACAGTGCCATAACATAGTAATGCTGTTAATGACACCATCACTTAACTTGCTACAGCGAGCAATTTTCTTTTAAAGAAAAGGAAAATGTGCTAATTTAAAACATGTAAACAATATTACGTGCCGCATCCTTGATGTGAGTGTGAGTCTCTCTACATATATTTCCCTCCCCTGTTGACATAAACATCGGTTAAAAGTAGCAATTTGCTAACACACTGCTTTACACCTTACCATTACCCCTTCTATCATCCATTCATCATCACCCACTCCTCTCCCTTTATCTGACACTTTCTCTGTCTGTTCCTCCCTCTCTCCACTGTGCTGGACAGCATCCACCTAAACAGATGGTTCAGTGTCAATAGGCTGCTATTAACTGGCCGCTCTCCCTGCTCTGATCCAAGACAGCAAAAAGCACATTTAAAGCACTGGGAATAAATGCTGTGCCACACTCATGAAGCTAAGATTTGATTAGCGCAGACGACGACGAGCCCGTTTACTTTAAAACCGTCACCCTCATAAGCTACTTTTTTTTTCTGTTAGTTTCTCAGAAATAAGCACAAATTGCATGTTTACCACATCAGATGCAGGTGTGGTATTTTTTTATGTATTGTTGACTGAGTTCAAGGATCTAGTGACTCATATTCTTGGCTCACATCCCCTTAATATTTATTTATTTTGCTTTTCTCTTCCATAGTTCGGATCTCCTGCCATGTCTGTGACTAGCTGCTTCGTCATCTCTGTGCCACACCCTGCTGAGGAAAAGGACAACTGCCTGACCTTGAGGCTTGCATCTGCTCAACCCTCACTTTTTCCATCTCTGGTAGATATTAATAAGAGGTACCCTTAATTTCCACTCCCTTGTGGTTCCTCCTCAGAAGGTGCAGATTTGACTACATTCCATTACTTTCTTTTTTAGCCACATGAAAGAAAGCACTAAATGCTTCCTTCTTTCCGGAAAGCCTTGATAGCCCTTTTTCAAATGTAATCTACATCATAATTAGACCCAAACAATATGAGTTTTCGCACTTCCTAGAATATTAGTTAATGCCGGTTGAATGTTCGATCTGACGAGGAAGCGAGAGCCAGTCTAAGTATAAATGTTCCTTTACAATCTGCATCTGTGTGTTATAGACACACCCAAAAAGAGGAGAGAAGAGGATAATATGAAAGGAAAGATAGGAGTGGCACGGAGAGGAAGGGATGTGGCGGCGATGGTGTCGCTGCTGCTAGAACAGTCTTCCCACCTTGTGGTAGCACGGAGAACTGTAGCTGCCTCAGTGCATGAGCAATGGGGGATGAGAGAGAGATGGAGTGAGAGAGATAGAGCGAGAGCATAGGAGAGAGCCAGAGGGAGCGATACACAGAGAGAGCGAGAAAGAGAGAGAGAGAGAAAAAAGGGAGGGGAGTTTAAACTAAGTGCAATGTTTTGGGACAGGCTAATCTGTTAGTGAGCAGTGTGAGGATCGGAGCGTATTGTGTGAGCCAGTGTGCGGGGGACAGATAAGGGAGCCAGCCAGCCCGCCAGCCCGACCCACCGACCCACCGACTGCCTGACTGCTTGTTTTAATGTGCTGACTCTGGGGAGATTTTAAAAGACAGCATATTGACTGCTTAGACGTGTGCGGAGACCCTGGGCACAAACGCCACCACTACAGCCACAACGAGCAGAAGTGCATCAGCAGACAGGGGAGAAAGAGACAAAAACTAGAGGACTGAAATATCACAACTCCAGAATCAGAAAATTAAAGAGGATTTTTTTATCCCCCTCTTTTTAAATTGATTTGATTTTTTTCTTTCTTTCTTTTTTTGTGTTCCTGGGACTGACTCCCAACTGTAGAAAAAAAAAGAGGAGGTAGGAGCAAAAACAACAACAACAACAACAAGAACAAAAAAACTGAAGAAAATCTGAAAATAAAAGGACAGAACGAAAAAAAAAA